CCAAAGTAGCACCAGTTGGCATGAGTAATTCTGCGCTTTATCTCCAGGCTCCCAATGTTGGTGGTGTTTAAGCTGGCTAGGAGGACAATATCTTTCACTACTTGAGAGTTATAACAGCCAACAGTGTATCCCAAAATGATGGGACTTGCTAGGAAGTACTTTGTCTTGTTCTTATTCACCGCTAGATGAACTTATTTTGCTTCCTTTTCCAGACTGAAAAATCCTGCGGTGATGTCTCTGGTTCTCAGGTATACGATGCCGATATCACCTCCATACGCCAGAAGCGGAGCGAAGTCACATTTACGGTTCAGCAGTTTTATAGTAAAAAAAAAAACAAGTTTCCTTTTTCCCTTTGTTCGCGTAAAGAGTTTGAGCTGTTTCGTGAAGGAAGCAGAAGACACTTGCTTTTCCATACGTTAAAAATTTTGCTCTTCTGCAATCTCCTCGCTTTCCTCACCTGTCTGCTCTAGGTATCATTAGGATATTAGCAGGAAAATTATTTGCGAAATATACATTTTCTAATGAAAAATATGAACTTTAGCTTCCTTAGTTGATTTTTTTTACTACTTTATTTTAGTGTTGCCTTATTCAATTCAGTTGTCTAATCGTTGTGACCGCTTCTAAGTACTTATATTTAAATGGCCAACTTAATTAGACCTGCATAAAGATGCACAATTCTGAATAAATTAAAATGTGCAATATTTTTTTTTTTTTTCAGAATAAAAATAAATCGCCTAAATATCGTTCTATGCTGACGTTTTTTAATTAAAGCATCTTTCGCACATCGCAATTAGAGCAGAAAGGCAATGTTGTATTTCATTTATTGACAACATTTTGCATTAAAGTTAAAAATAACACACGAACTTATTCAAGCTATTTGATGATTCGTACATATGTATGTATGTTAGCTAATTAAAAAAAAATTGTGCTTCACGCAGCATGCGTTTTTACGGCTAGCATGTGCTTAAAATAGCAGAAATATAAGTTTCATGGCTTGTTCATGATTCATGCTGCTTCAATATCTCATTTTAACGACGCGTTCTTATAAAGTTAATGCAGTTGAAAATATTTAAAATTTCTACACATTTTGGCTTGCTATTTATTTGCGAATAACCGATTTTTATTTGTGGAATTTTTGTGGCTTCAATATTGCAGCAGTGACTTGATTTGTCTTAGAATTTTTTCATCTTTTCTTTACATGCATATTTCGATCGACAGCTTTGGCACCGCATCTGTTTTGCTTTGGTGCGCATGTGGGTTGCGTTTCTTTAGCGCTTCGCTGATGTCAAGGTGACGGTATACTACATGCAATGCATGGTAAACTACGTTGTGGATATTATTTTTATGTAAAATGGTCATGCGAAGATTGTGTAGCATCGTTGAAGTGCTTGTGAAATATGCTAGCATGATCCAAATGGTGATGGAATTTTATAAATGACCAGTGGGATTTTAATATACATAAATATCTGCTACTCAAAAATCACAAAATTTTGTTTGACAATTAAAATTCACTTAAATTAAATTAATTTACAGACTTACAACCGGAGGTCTTAGCTGTGTCTTAGTTTAAGATAGGTTAGGTTATAGGTTATAGCTTGGTTATCCGTTCGCTTACCATGCGCTCCCATAAGGCATTATTCTGGAATGGTACCAACCACTGTAAACAGTGATAACGGTGCGATCAATACGTATGAGAGTTTAAGATCTTATCTCGTTGATTTGTACCTGACCGGATCTGCTTAGTAACGGAATATGTTGGTTCTTTCGCCCGTATTTCGTTTGCCGATTCAATGGAAACAGATTTGAGTGGTGTTCACACGAGGAATAGGAGGCGTCCGCATCGTGCTTACAGTTAACTCAGCGCAAGTCAGTGCAACCCCCTCCCAAGCGAGCTTGTCTGCGCCGCATGAAAAATGGTACAGTTCAAGATAAGAGTATTTAAAGTTTGATTTAAAATTTTCTGCAATTTTTTCCCCGAATATTGTAAATAAATGAAACGAATTTTTGAAACTATGGCATTGTGCCATCTTCAGTGGTTATATATCTCTTCACAGTGTAGGGAAATCAACCAATACAATACATATACATATACATATACATATGTACAAATTACAATCTTTGTGATTTTTTGAGACTTTGCAAAACTTGTCTTTAAAATATTCGAGTTCCTTACGATTTAGTTATTTTTTTGCCTTTGCGGGTTGTTTCGGAATTTTTTCGATCTGTGACGTTTTTTCTTTTTGGCGTTATGTTTATCGTCTTTGTGAGGTTTTACCGAAGTCTTCGTTATTCTTCGGGATGTTTTTGAGAATTTTTGGGATTTTCGGTATCCTTTATGATTAATTCGGGACTGTTCGTTATTCTTAGGGTTTGATTTTCGGGATAACTAAAAATTGTATGGAATATTTTCCGGAAACTTTCGGAATTTTTTTTGGAAAATTTCAAACTTTTCGGGATTAACTCCAAATTATTTTAATCTTTAAATGCTTTTCATTATACTTATATGAAATATATCGAGATTTTTCTGAGTTTGGAATTTTCTTGTGACTTTCACGAATTCTTTGTATCTCTTTGTAGGCTTTTCGAAGAACTTTTCGAAACTGTTGGTATTCTTCGAGACTTTTCTGTATTTTTGCGAGGCCTTTCGTGTTTTATTTCTCCCAATCTTTTGCTGTTTTCCAGGATTTTACGAAGACTTTGCGTTATTTTTTGTAAAATTTTTTTGAGACTTTTCGAGATTTTATCGGTACATTATTCGGTTTTTTTCGGGATGTGCGAGATGTAGAACTACTTTTAAGATATGAAAGTACCTTTGGACATGGCAGGTACAGGATAAACTCCAAAAACTAAAAAATTACGAATATTTGGGATTATCCGGTTACTTTCATGTCCAAAAGTCTTTTTGTATCTTAATTACATATTTAAATATTTTTTGTGAATACCAAGGGTCGGCTACTTCGATAAAGAACAAAACCCTGCGCTTTCTTTTGAAATGAAGTGCGGGTTTGCACTATTTTCATAATAAAAAGCTGCAATTTATTCCAAAGACAAACTGAAAACGACTCTTTTATTTAAACTACTTAAACAAGAAGAACAACTTTATTTTAAGCATCTACTTTTACACACCTGTGCCTCGCCCGCACACGCATAAAGGCGTACCCGTGTGCACTTAATGACCACCGCAAGTGCTCAAAGTAATTTTCTGCGTAATCGCAAACGCATTTATGTATATTTCGCAGAACGAACACAAATACCCACCCCATTTCGCGCCACACTAACGTACGTACATATAGCCTCGTATGTTTGTACATTAAGACCAATCAACCAACCACCCACCGATTGCGTAAAACACCTTCACCATTATTTTTTTATGTGTGTCACAACACAAATTTACACCTCTTCCACCTCATTTTCAAACCATTTTCCAACCTCATGCAAAATTACTTTTGACTCTGTAACCACGAAGTCATTATATTAAACGCGGTTGCATTGGCGGTGATGGCTGCGCTGCGGCGACAAACAAACACACATACACACACATTTTTTTTAGATTTTTAGCTACCACACTTAGCTTTTGGTTGTAATAATTTTAATATACCCGCCGCTTCTGCTGGTGACCCACTCACAATGACAGTTTTTTCGCACACAAATTTTCTTTTAAATGAAATCCCATTAAATTTTTCACATTTGCGCCTTTATTTAATGGGCTGATGGGCGAGATACATATGTATGTATGTATAGTACTTATGTAAGGTGAAACGCAAATCGCAAGCACCAAAACCTTTACAATTTTATGAATGCAAAGCGGTGAGCATGAGTTGCGCGTACAGATATGGTTTTGAGCAAAAAGACCTCCAAGCGGACATGCAAGTGATGAGTTTTAACTTTCATACATACACACATACACAGTCATTTCTTGTCCCATACGCGCGCTGCCTGTTAGACACAATTCATTTTGTATGACTCTTTGTGTTATGTAGATATGCCTTGTATGCATGGATATGCAAATCTGAAACGTTCTTCTTAGCACAGATGCTGGAGGATTATAGAGGAAATGTGTAAAAAGTGTGACAAACGCATTTAAATTAGAATTGCGTTGGTTTTTTTGTGTGTGCGTAAAATGTATGCGTTCTCTAATATTTTTGTTGCAATGCTTATGATTTAGAAGCTTCTTGGATACACTGGAAGCTTGGATACACACAAAGAACCTCTCATAAGACCTCTGCTTTAGGCTGACGGACCACTGCAGTGTCTTCCAAGCAGAACTCGCAGCCGTAAAGGAGGCTGCACTTTGGCTTATCAAAACTTCTCTTAACCTGCCTTCAGTAACTAACTATATACTCCGATAGCTAAGCAGCTAGATTGCTAAGACCTCGTCGATAATAGCGATAGAACGTAAGAAAGTCTTTAACGATTTAGCTTCAAAGTCTACTACCTACATTGTGTGCCAGGTCACAGAGACATTCGAGGTTATTGTGCAGCGGACAAGCTTGCGAGGAACGGAACCACCCTGCCCGACCCTGTCTGACTCGTAAATCTGGGAAAGCGTCGACAGAAAAAGAACCGACGCACTCATTCGGTTAGAACGCCCTCTACTTAGGCTGGTGACCGGTATAATTACGGTCCACTGCTTAATGGGAAGACATGCTGGCAGAATGGGCTTGCCGGCCAATGCCTTCTGCGGAAGTTGCCCGGGTTTGAATTCGATCTCTCAATTGGTAGCGCAACGGCCCCACTGGGTCTAAGTGTGCCTCTGTCATACGTTGGACTAAGGCAGCCGCTTCAACCTAACCTAACCCAAGACACTGAGTGCATCCACAGTCCAGGTCTTTATTCCTACTTTTTTGCCGAGGTGTAAATTAAAATAAAAGTTATTAACGAGTTTTCTGTTTCAATTTAATAAATAAGTATTCAAAACCTTTGCTAATAATGTTTCGTTTCATTTTCAGATTGCTATACTCAAATCCATTGAGCGCCAGCAGCAACGAAATTGAAATGCACAAATTCAAATACCTGATGCGACTACTTTAAACCATCGATGTTGAATGCGCCACTTTTGTTAGTTATGTCTCCCACCAACAAAGCAATTACCGCACACACACACACACACACCCACAATGCGGCAAACTATTGAAAGCGGCAACCCCAAAAACTAATTTCGAAACCACTAATTAAATCCCTTCAGTCCTGCGAGTAAAATCAACGCCACACTACATATTTCAGTTGATTTACCGTGTCGCACGCGCCAGAGTCACAGCTTTCACACATCCGAGTGGCGCCACCAACTACCCACACCAACGCAGCGTAACGCGACGTGACACAATCACAACGATAATGGAAATAGAAGAACGACCGGACATAAATATGCCAACGACGGGCGAAACGAGCACCTCAAATGGCACACCGATAGTTGGCCGACGCAAAGCAACAACAGCAATGCCACTTGGAAGCCCAGCAACACTCACTGCAATAATACTATTGTTCAACATAACCTCAGCCGCATTAACTTTAGCTGCAGCGGTAACATTGAAAACAACAGAAGCGGCTGCAGCGGCGCCAGCACAGCAGTCGGTGAGCAGCACAATTGGCGCGAATTCCAATGGAAGCGCAGCATTCATAAGTGATGCACACGTTAACACAACGACTAGCGCCTTGTCGGCGTCCACAGCGACCGCCGATGTGCCGCTTGTTGCAACTACAATGCCTTATGCAGAAAGTGGCAGCAACAGCGGTGCGACGAGCACCAGCGCAAATGCGCGCATCAGTGGCAGCGTCGGCAGTGCGGTTGAGTTGCGCGACGAGGAGCAGCGGACCGATTTAATCAACAACAAATGGGTGCAAATCATCTTCTGCCTCATTTATGCGACGATATTCGTGTTGGGCATTTTCGGCAATGTGCTGGTGTGCTATGTCGTGTTGCACAATCGCGCCATGCAAACGGTGACCAACATCTTTATCACGAACCTTGCGCTCTCGGACATACTGCTGTGCGTGCTGGGGGTGCCGTTTACGCCACTCTACACCTTCATGGGTCGTTGGGTGTTCGGGCACACACTCTGCCACCTAGTTACGTTCGCGCAGGGTTGTAGCATTTACATTTCAACATGGACGCTCATGTCAATTGCCATCGATCGTGTTTTCGTTATCGTATTTCCCTTCCGGCCGCGCATGAAACTCTCCACCTGCATACTGATCATCGTGAGCATTTGGTTATTCTCGCTGCTGTTCACAATGCCCTATGGCATATTCATGAAAGTGGTCGTGTCGGAGCAAGCTAATATCGATGAATCGCTGATTAACAGTACCTTACAGCCGCTCGTTGTCGTGAATGACTCCAATATTGCGCACAGCACTTATGTTGTTTCGTCTGCGGTCACAACGGCTTCAGCGCACGTACTAGATGTAACGACGACCAGCTCAGCTGCGAGCGTGAATGAGGCACTAGACGATGCCACTACTTACACGATTACCACCTACTGCGAAGAGAACTGGCCCTCGGAGTCCATACGTCAGGTGTTCGGCTTTGTGACCAGCTCATTGCAGTTTATATGCCCTTTTGGCGTGATCACCGTCTGCTACATTTGGGTATCGATAAAGTTAACTATGCGCGGCTCAAAGCCCGGCTGTCGGTCGGTGCAGCGTGAGGAGGCCGATCGCGAGCGCAAAAAGCGCACGAATTATATGCTCATATCGATGGTCGGCGTGTTTGCCATTTCGTGGATGCCCATCAACATGGTCAATATGATGGATGACTTCTATGAGAAATCGAATGAGTGGCCCTACTATACGTTCCTATTCTTCGTCTCGCACTCGATCGCCATGTCGTCCACCTGCTACAATCCCTTCCTCTACGCCTGGTTGAATGAGAACTTCCGCAAGGAGTTCAAGCATGTGCTGCCCTGTTTTAATCCTTCCAATCATAATGGCATGAACTGGCGTGGTGTGCGAAATCGTTCGGATCGCAATACCTGCGGACCCCGATTATATCACGGCAATGGCTGTGGCGCGGGTAGTATGGATATCGACGATGCCGATGATAATGGCATAACACAGGAGACCTCGTTGGCCAGACCAAAAGACAGGCTGACAATTGTGCCACGTGAACCGACTTATGGCAATGGTAGCGGTTGTGGTGCCTTGTCTCCGAATAGAGGTCTTAACTCGGCGCTGGTGCATAATTCTCATGTTGTGGATATAGTAATGAACGATAAGGCTCAACATCGGCCGCGTCGTACTACGACGGATGATGACTGCATATCGGGAGATGAGCAGACCGTGGAGATGCGATTCTCGGAGACGCCGTTTGTGAGTTCAGACAATGCGACGGGCACCAGTACGCTGGAGGCGAGCAGCAGTAATGAGGTGGGCGAGCGAGGGTGTAACTGAGGAAGGGTGAGTTTAGTGAGTAAGATGGGTGGGTAAAAAAATTCCTATCGAAGAATTTCTACAAACTTAAAATTAACAAACTGTTTTTTGGTCTCGGCCCTAAACGACAAACGGCCGTCTTTAGTGAAAAATAAAAACACAAGTGAAATTCTGGCACACAAGTGCTTATTTTTCTGACAATCACGAGGGTTAAATTTCTTGTTGTCAAGCCACTGTTTCACTGTTTTCACTCATTTGATTAACACACCATTCTTTCCCCAGATTCTTTTGCCTTTCAGGCAGTTATGTGTGCAATGTAAAAATCATTTATCCTGGATTTTATGAGCTACAATTGCGGAAGTAAGCGGATTAGGATATTGCCTACAGGCAAATACTGAACAATGGAAAGAATGTGCGCTTAACAAAAGATATGCATACTACAGAGCTACTAATAGTACCTTGCATGTGCAGATATATGTATAAGCCGCACTTGTATGTGTATGCATTGTGCGTGCGTATTTATAAATACTTAGTATTCTGTAAAGTCATAACTTTTGCCTGTGACTTGTCTGAAAAATTCTACATTTCTTCCATCACTTACTCACCACTCCTCGAGCATTTAAGGCTGCCTGTCGCCAAATGCCGTAAGGACATTGCGAAAAAGTATAAAAACTGCATATATGTAAAAGCTAAAGTTTTACCTTTTTGATACTTAAGTAAGTAGCTTTGTGTGCCATTGCGCACCCATTCGCCAAGTAGGCGGGTGTGCCTTGTCTGCGCCTGAGTCGTTAGGTTAGTTGCCAACAATTTGCTCATCAAACACAAAAGAGGCAGGCAAAACAAAGTTTGTCCAGCACTTTAAATTTTTAATAGGCCAGCGTTAGCGCAATGTTTGTTTTGTAACTTGTTTCTAGTTTAAGGTTTGTGTTTCTGTATGTTTGTTTTACTATTATTTCTGCGTGTCTCCTCGATAACAAGCAAGAACGTTGCGCATGACGTCCTTTGAATTCAGCAGAGTAAATGTCCTTTTTATCTACCTTTACATGGTATTTAGTTGTTGAATAAAACATTAGTACTGGCTACATGTCGCTTTTGGTTTTTTTTTTGGTTTTTTCTTTGTTGTTATATATATTTAAGTGATCCTTTGTATGAAGGTTCTTTTGGTCTCAGCCGTCATTATTATGTCACTTATTGTTAAAATGGAAATAAGCTAGCAATATGAACCTGAGCGAAGGATCCCTTCAGTGAAGTTCATCTTTTTGATGTTCGCTTATTCGGTCTAACTGCATAAAAAATTAGAATGTTTTATTTGGTTTAAGTCTAACACAATAGAGACAAAAGGAAAACCTGCGGCAAGGCAGCTGCTTGCCCAGCTTCTGAGACATAAAATTATGATTTAAATTTCATTTTGAACTTTTAAAAGTTGGCACAAAAATATATAAGACGGATGATAATGGCTAGCAGGGCGTTCTTTTGGCAGCGAGTATCGGTGAAAATCGTACAGTATATTTTTCCCTGTTTTTAATTTATTGTTTAATTTTATTTACTTTTAATAAAAATATAGTTTACACTAAATATATCAAAATCCATTAAACTTAAAATTTCTAACCTTATAGAATTAAAAAAAAAGTAGTAAAATTTTTATCAAAACTTTACACTTTATTCAGGCTTTCGAGAATTTTTTTGGGTATGCAATTTTATAGCCCCTTCGATTTTAGCATAATAAAGTTTGAAGTCGCTCTAACTACCTTTGATTTTTGAGAATTTTTTCACTTTTTTCCATATAAGCATGCATTTCTTATGAAATAATATGCGGTAGACGGTTCGCAACAAAATTGAAATTTTGTTGAATTTTTTATAAAATTTGAAATTGTGATCTATATGGTTTTGGTTAAAGCTGAGACAATATTTTTATAGAAAAAAATTAACTCGAAAAACATTACGAATATTAAAAAAAAAACACACGTGGTCATTTGTTTGAGTCACTGTATATTTTTTGCTTAAAAATAATAAAAATTAATAAAGACAGAAAATCGAATTAGAAACAGATATAGAATTTATCAAAAAAGAAAGAAATGGTACTTAAAAATTAAATTAGATTGAAAATGGCTTCATTAAAAAAAGAAAAAAAAAAAACAATTAAAAAGTAATAAGATCCTAAAAATTAAATGAAATAAAAAAATATAAAATATAATGCAAAACCGCCCACCGACCAGTTGCAAAACCACCTGAATCGCTGTTTTGGCAAAGGGGGGGGGGGAGTTTTAAATTAAGTTCTTTACATTTGCATGTTCGAGAGTTTTTCTCACTCACGCCAATGATTTTCCAAATTTTAAAGGCATTCAAATTTCCTCTTCATGCTCGCGCACACAACCAAGGTCTTAACGCCTTGCACACACAGCAACAGCTGCCAAACGTTAAATGTCATGGCCACTTTGCCGTTACGCATTTCAAGTGTCGAATTTTCATAGCCACCAGAAAGAGCCGAGTGGAGAGCACTGCAAACCGCTTCTAGCATGTACAAAATGGTAGCAACAACAGCAAGCGTCGAAGGAAATTTTGTAAGAAAATATTATTCTTTCATGAGTTTCCACTACACAGTCTCTTATGGCCATTTGTGGCAAAATAAATGGACACATTAAGTGAAACCAAATAAAATGAAACGAGTAAAAAAATATGCTTCCACAATGCTATGTGACGAAAAAAGAAAATGAAAGGCGTTTAAGTGAGAGGAAATGAAAAGTGGAGCCCCCGAAAAGTGAAAGCCGTGAAGTGAGAAAACTAGGTCAAGTTTTTTTTTGAGCGTGGTGGGTGTCTTCACTTGAATGCAGCTACGTTCAGCTATCAGCAACAAAACCATTGTGGTTTTGTGCAGTTTGGTGAATGTATGAAAAGATTTAAGCGGAGAAATTTGCAATAAGCAAAGCTACAAGAACGTGTTTAACACAATTTTACACTCATATATGTAAATTTCAGCCAGAGACGTGAACTCTACAAAGCTATAGCTTTAGTTATACTCATGTAAACACAGTTGTTGTAATTTAGTACCCGTATCTGTATGTTAATTTATATAGAGAACATTTGAGGCAAATATATATAGCAGTGTACACTGATTACCCTTACAAGATCTAGTAAATTTGTTTCACTTTGCCATCTTTGCTAACAAAAAGTTTTCCTAGATTACTGACATAACATTTAATGCGGCGATAAGAACAGCGACATTGATCCTTTTTGCATTTTTCTTTTAACATTTCGTTTTTCTTTTTTCGCTAATCGCCACCACGTGTTTGGTGTTGGTCATATGAGCGCGTGAGTATTTTTGTTTTCCATGTCAAATAGATAAGAAGACTTGAAATTCTCCCTCGCCAAAAAGAACTATTATACATATAAGCCTCTTTATCTGTACAATTCAGTGAGAGGGGCGGACGAGGTTGTAAAAATGTACAAAACAATAAAATATTTATACAATTTAAAAATGGTGGGTGAGGTAACTAGCAGTAACTACATGCTGAATAGCACAATAACATAACAAAAAATAAAACATATATGAAGCTCTCAGTTGTAAAAGTTAGGAGCCATTCAAAATAAACCTACTCAGGCAGGGCTTGCTCAAGAGGACCTACTTTTTAGAATTCGTATTAGAAGACCTTTTAATAGCACTACCAAACGATGAGAAGGTGAGTTTCCATTGGGCGTATCGGTGCTTGTGTGGGGAAAAAGTTAATTTTGAACTGTGCCATTCCATTATTTCATGTAAATTTTTCGCTTCTAAGGGAAGAACGAAATATGGGCCCCTTTTTTTCTAAATTTGCCGAGTGAGGTGTTTTTTCAAATGTCGATATGCATTTAGTTATTTATTATACTCCTTTAAAAGTTAGCTTTTCGCTGTGTAATAGACAGCCACCCTACTCTAATATTATAAATGTGAAAGTTTGTGAGTGAGCAAATGAATATACTTGCTGCTCTTTCATGGGAGCTGGACGTGTTTTAATGCAATTTGGCACAGAGATAGGCTCTAACGCCTTAAATTATAGGATGTTTTCTCTAACAGAGTTGCCACCATTTAAAAAGTTAGAATCAATTAATTAGTAAGTTGAATAAAATATCTTAATAAGGTGTGAGTCAAATGAAAGGCGTTCAAAAACGATTTATTTAGAAAACAGTTTTTAAGAGAGTGGCCACCCTTTAAAAAGATAAAATCAATTTAATTTTAGTATTTGTCGAAATATTTAAGTGTGGGTTTTAAAGGAGAGAGGTCTAAGAAGACTTTATTTGCAAAATATTCTGAGGAGCATTGCCACTTGATGAAATATCAAATTAAATTTAATGCAATATTTATTATGATATGGAAGTCAAACGAAAAATTGTTAAGAAGGGTTTTGAATAGAGTTTCACCTGTTTAAGAAACTAATGGTGATTTCGTTTCTTCCAAAAAATTTGGCCCTTCGCCGGTGCGAAATATGTTTGATATTACACTCAACCCTGCAAAGAGGTATGTTTTTGCCTTCTTGTCGTTGCTTAGCTCACGCATTTCATAATATTGTCGTTTTGAACATCCTTCTGATTTTCACGGCAACCATCTCCCTTGACAAAGCTTCACAGTGCAGTGAATGTGCCTTTAGTTTAGAAGCAAGCACAATTGATCGCACGATATGTTGTTCATTGTAGAGTTCTGAAATAGAATTGAAAATTCAACTTGTAAATTTTTACCCAATTTTATACGATTTCAAGTATTTGGAATATAAAGTTGCTCTAAGAAAGATGAAGTACCGCAGTGTATCGTATCGTACATGTTTGAGGCCACCTTAACTCGCTGCACAAATGAATTTTTACGATGAAAGTTAGTGATGAATTGGAGTTAATTTTAATTCAGCCACCGATTCCGTCTTAGAAATAATATAGAAGACCAAAAAAGTTTCGCAATTTAAATTGCATAATATTTTCTTAAAGAGAATATTTTCAAAAGCGTAATTACAGCTAATGAAGGTTGATTTCATCAAACCATATATTAAACATCTGCATATAGT